TAACACTTTGTTTGTTTAGCTTATTAAAAATAGAGTTCTTTGATTTATTAAAAAGAAAGAGTCCTTTGTCTTCATTCTTCTCTTGGGCTGGAAAGGAAACCCGTTTAGAAGCAGACGCATGAGACCTTGAGCAATATCTCATGCAGATTAGTTCTTGCTGAGGGGGGGGGGGGGTGACTTTTAGGTGGAAAACAGTGATTTCATTCTGTTACACAGCTGACCTCAATCATCTGAAGCGTAACAAACTCGGATCACTCAGCTGTTGAGTAAATGTTACCATCAGCTCTGAGGTGGTCCGTTTTGAACACACGGTTCCTGTGAAGATGTGAGACGAGCTAACCCCAGTCAGACGTGTGAGGATTTGGTATTATATGTCATTATTTGTGACAGAGATTTTGTGCAGATGCTTTTTCATCCATCGTGAAAAAGGCTGAAGGGCTGTTGAGATGAGAGGAATTTATTGGAGGTTTGGAGAGAGGTCCACAGCAACACGACAGCTCTGTGCCATCCTAAAAATAAAACACGTTTGCCAAAAAGTTGCCCGCAGTCTCGGGGAAACAAGTAGAGTTTTGTCAAGAAATCAGGGAAGAACGATCGAAAGATACACCCGCCGAAGCAAAGCTTTATCAAATCAAATTAAACTATTTATATAGCAATTAATCATACAATGCATGCAACTCAAAGTGCTTGACAGATTAAAAAGGCCCTGCATACTCACATTCCCTCCTATCCCCAGAATTTAAAAACAGTCTTGAGAATAAAAACCCCTTCACAACACTCATCCTCTGGCACACACACACGCGCGCACACACACACACACACACACACGCACACACACACTCACTCGCTCGCACGCACGCACGCGCACACACACACACACACACACACACACACCTCCATGGAAAAAACAGAACGAACAGAGTTTAGATGACCCAGACCTGCTAAGATAAGGAAACGCCATCAGGGGAGCCATCCGCCCCGACAGCAGCAGATCAACAGTAGCAGCCAAGGCACCAACACAGGGCGCCCAGGGCAGGGAGGGCGGAGACCCCCACATCCACCCAGGCACACCTGGAAAGCACCCAGGCCGCCACAGCCGACCACCGCCCCCAGGGCAGAGGGCTCCCAAAGACGAAACACTGGAAAAAGGTTAAATTAAGGTTAAAATATAAAATAATGAGCTAAAATGAAAATTGTAATATAAAAAGTTATATAGATATTAAAATAATGTTGATCATAAATCTACGGTTAAAATATATATATATATATAAATAAATAAAAACTGTTCAAAAATAGCACGTATAAAAAATATATACAATAAAAAAATGAATAAAAAATAGATAAATAAATAACCTAATTAATTTAGTGTTTTTTCTTTAGTGTTTCTTTAAAAGGATCCCGTTTGTTTAAAAGACACCAAAGGACGAAGGTTAAATCAGTCCGTGGGAACACGCAGAGTCTAAATGACGTTCCTTTAGTGACTGCAGATTTACTTTAACAGTACAGCCACAGCTGCAGCACATCTTGAGGCGCCGGGATGAGTCGGAAAGACAAAAACCTGTTATCTATCTGATCTTGTGTTTTCCCTTCAATGCGAAGCCTGTGGGAGATGGAAGACGTGCCGCTGGGATGGCGTACAGTTCCACTCATTCTATTAATATTACAGCTGAGAAACCTGCAGGAACAGGTTGTTTACACAGAATAGAAGTTTGTGTGCTTTGCCAAATCTAACAAAAATGTGTCTGACTTAGATTTGAGCTTTTAAAACCCTAAAAGTTCTGTGTTCAAAAGAAACCTTTTTTAAAAAACCGAATGATTTCCTGCGATTTTTATGTTTTTTCCTTATTTGTTGCCCTCGACTTTTTCTTTTTAACGATGCAGAAGAGCTGCCCATCTTTTGGAAGAAGGATGCTGATGATGTGTCGTCTCTGGGCATCTTCTGGGCTGGATGCTAAGCTTTCCAGCCAGGGAGAAGATAGAGGAATGGAGGGAGAGATATTTCCAGAGATTATCAACCAGTTTAATCCAATTGCAACTTGCGTCAGTCTTCCAGCAGGATGCAGATATGCTCCTCTAATGCCTCTTAAATACTTCAGTCCTTTTTGTTCTCAGTATCCCTGAAGAGTTGTCTCCATCTAATGCACGTTTTTATTATTAGCCGTTGCTGAAGGGCAAAAGGTGAATTGTTCTTTCTGTTTTGGTTTATCAGCAGTTTTAACAAAATGTCTGATGAACCACGGGACGGATTCAAATGAAACCTTCATCGGATGCACATCTATGGCCGATTTACACACATCAGCTAACTCACTCACAGTCGTATCATAAGAAGCCAGGTGAGGTGGTTTAGGCATCTGGCTGGGATGCCTTCCACAGTCCCCATGGCGACCCAAGAGAGGAAAGATTATTTCTCACAGCAGGCCTGGATGAGCTGGAGGAAGGAGGTCAGTCAATCAATCAAAGATACTTCATTAATCCCAGAGGGAAATTAGAGTTTCAGTACACAATTCAGAGATCAGACATACATGGGCAAGACACATGACAAGAATTGGTGCCTGGTCATTCGCAACCCTGAGTCGCGCTACCTTAATAGAGATAAGAGGGTTACATGAGGGTTGGTTCAGGTGGAGGGGAAAAAAGGCACTTCAGAGCTACCCTCCCACCAGGAGGGCAGCTTTGCTCTGCAAAAAAAAAAAAAAAAAAAAACCTCAGACAGATATGCAACAGACTTCAGACATTACACAACATAAGTGTCCACTAGGTGGGGTGGTGGGTTGGGACTATCCCCACTTCAGTTCCTGCAGCCACGGTGAAGCAGCGCATGTCACCTCAGTGTGGATGGGGGGGGGGGGGGGGGGGGGGCATTGAGGGTTGGAGGGTTGCAGTGACCGGAACGTTTCAGCGGCCTTCCCGCAGTCCCGCCCAGGCTGGGAAAGGAGACAGAGTTGAGTTGCCATAGCGACGGCACATTCCACATATCTTCTGAGGGGGGAGTTTTCGTTGGAGCCTTGCAGGCTCAAGGACGCCAGATTCCGATTAGAAATTGTTTTGGGGCCAGACAGAGATAATTTCCTCTGTCTTACAGTTTGTTGGTCCTCAACCTCTCAGAATCCCAATAATGGACATTAAACTATCCCAATCCGTGCTGATTCGTCCACTCTCTCCTTGATGGCATCCATCTTTTGTGCCAGTAATGAATCTCGGCCAAAGTTCCAAGCTTACTATTCATCTTGACAATTATGTGGGTCTGTGAATTCACATTGCGGTGATCCGGCCAATATTCCTCGACAGCTCGTTAATTTTCCAGTCAGGAGGTCTCAGGTAGCTTTTTTTTATTGATTTAGTAAACAAAAAAGCAGCTTCTGGCAGCATTTTTCACAAAGAAAATGGCAGTGCCATACTGACTAAGACTGTGTGTGAAAACAGCAGAGACAGAAGTGTCATTAGAGGCTGCGCTTCCCAACAGCCTGTCATCATCAGCCGGGCAGCAGACAGCGGCTGGTCCATCTCCACTCATGTCAACACATGATGCTAGGAAACGTGGAAACAGATTTACACCCCTACTCTCGCGTTTATTTGTTTCCACTTTAATCTCATGACACCCAATTTCATCTCATTGGGGTCGCTGCCGGACTGCTGTAAGACGCTCAACTCAGCTCGCCACACTCACCACCTAGCAAAGTCTAAAATGAAGCTTTCTTTATGCTGCCATCTTTTTCAACCACACTGTGAAATTTGCTAAAGATCAGCTGCTCTGCTCCTTTACTTTTAACTTTTTGTTTCAAATTGTCATGTTGCAGGTTAGGAGGTTAGGACCCAAGATGCAGAAAACCCCAGATGACACGAGGCAGGAGCGGTTTAAAAGTAAAATACTTCTTTATTAAGACGAGGAACCAAAAAATCCAAAAGGGCAGGAAGTCAAAAACTAAGTCCTGATCACCAGGAGAACGAAAGCTCACATAGAGCACAAAACAACGCTGACACAAAACAATGGACCGACAAGAAAACTGACACACAGACAGGGCTATATACACTGGGGCATGATGGGAGGCAGATGGGCTGCAGGTGTGTGAGGAGAGAACCAGGTAAAAGCAATTAACTAATCAGGGAGGAAAATAACATGACCTAAGAGTAAAACCTAAAGACAAGAAAAGCAACAACATAACTAATATTCTAAGGGCAAGAAAAACTACAAACACCGGTAGGAAAAAACACACTAAAGAGACTAATAAAATGAAAAGCTGAAACTATAAAAACTGAGGAGGGGTGACTGGGGAAGACTGAAGGAACACAGGACCTGGGAGAGATGATCTGGAGGGCTGTAGATCTGGGAACACATGAGGAAGACGTAGACAATGACACAAGAGGGCACTAAGATACACAACAGGAGAACCTAGAGACGAATGGAGAACACAAGGAGACACATGAGGGGAGACGCAGACGCAGACCATGACACAAATATGTTGAAATTTATCTAAATTTGACTTATTTAAAAACACTTGGTATAAAATTTTAAATCTCTACAGGCGTGTCATCAAATAAGTGGTATTAAAGTGTTGGCGCCGCTGTCAATTAAAAAAATTCAACTTAAAAAAATCAAAGAAATTTTTTTTTCCAAAATAAAATCCAAACGTCGAGGAAAAAAGTCACAGTTTCAAATAAATTTTTATCTCATTTAAAGGTCAAAGCTCTGGTAAAAAAAACACAGAGTTTATTAATAAAACTAACTTTTATGAGCTTTAACATTTCAACTCATTTCTCAACACTTCCTCTTTCACACGTCATAAACTGGCGTGTGTGTGCAGGTAGATTAAAACTTGTGTAATCTGCTGCTCAGGAGCATGCTCACACTCTTTCCTAACAAAACAAACATGCTGCAGACCTACTTTTTAAATAAACGACACAATGTTTTTAGGTTTACCTACAGTGTCGACTCCAACACGAGTCCTCCCCTGGTAGCTTGTTAAGAAACGCTCATTCATCGTCCTCTCCTCCTGTTCCAGGTACATGTCTGATTCTGGGCTGCATGATCTACCCTGATGGCTGGGACAGCGACGAGGTGAAACGGATGTGTGGTGAGCAGACGGATAAATACACGCTGGGTGCCTGTTCGGTACGCTGGGCCTACATACTGGCCATCATGGGCATCATGGACTCTCTCATCCTCTCCTTCCTGGCCTTCGTTCTGGGAAACCGCCAAGACAATCTGATGTCTGAGGAGCTGCTGGGAGACAGTAAGAAGAAAAAACATCATTGTTAGAATTAAGGAAAACCTTTAAATTACACTCGACATTTGGTAAAACTGGGCAACACAGAGGCAATTCAATGTGCTTTCCATTAGTGAGAATAGCTCGACCATTAAAACAAGGTGACAGCCCAATTAAAATACACAAATAAATTAAGATCAAATTAAATACATGAATTTACTTCAGATTTAAGAATCAGAAAGAAGACAACCTCGACCGGAAAAGGGGGGCTTGCCAACTCCGGGTCGGGAGAGAGGTCCTACCTCAAGTGGAGGAGTTTAAGTATCTCGGGGTCTTGATCACGAGTGAGGGTAGGAGGGATCGGGAGATCCACAGGCGGATTGGTTCGGCGTCTGCAGTGATGTGGACGCTGAGCCAATCTGTCGTGGTGAAGAGGGAGCTGAGCCAGAAAGCCAGGTTCTCGATTTACCGGTCGATCTACGTCCCAATCCTCACCTATGGTCATGAGCTTTGGGTAATGACCAAAAGAACGAGACTGCGGATACAAGCGGCCGAAATGAGTTTCCTCCGTAGGGTGGCCGGGCTCAGCCTTAGAGATAGGGTGAGGAGCTTGAACATTCAGGAGGGACTCGGAGTAGAACCGCTGCTCCTCCGGATCGAAAGGAGCCAGTTGAGGTGGTTTGGGCATCTGGTCAGGATGCCTCCTGGACGCCTCCCTAGGGAGGTGTTTCGGGCATGTCCTGCTGGCAGGAGGCCCCCGGGTCGACCCAGGACACGTTGGAGAGGTTACATCTCCAATCTGGTCCGGGAACGCCTTGGGGTCCTGCCGGAGGAGCTGGTGGAGGTGGCCGGGGAGAAGACGGTCTGGAGCTCCCTAGTTGGGATGCTGCCCCGGACCCGGATAAGCGGAGGAAGACGACGACGAGAAAGAAGACAAAGTTTAAGTGTGAGCAGTTACAGCGCAGAAGGTTCAGCATAAGAAACAATCATTCAAAAGCTGATGAATAGATGGAAGTTTTCTCATTTTTGATATTTTAGGTCAATATTAGAAGATTTCATGCTGGATTTGTAAATCAAGCATTGTCCCGCCATTGAGAATCAACCACACGTGAAATAACATTTTGTCAAATAATTAGTGAAAGTGTGATTAACCTAGCAGAAAAATATAGACATTCAAAAATACAGGGATGATAAATAAAAATAAAAATGTATTTATATGTATTATAATTACCTTAATATTAATATATTTTAATTATTTAAACATGTATAACAAACAAGAAACTTTGTTGTGTGTGAACATTAAATTTAGAATAAAATGGACCATCTTTTGTACATTTATTTTCTTTTATTGCATTTTTTTAATTCATATATGTATAAAACTACTTTAAATGGGAGCATAACAAGCAAAAATTACTGCAACTATGTACTTTATCATAAAATAAAGAATCCAAACACCCCTTTTTTTATTTTTTGCTTTATCATCATAAATATCATGATTTAATTTTGAGGCTTTAGCTTCTGTGTGGTTTTCTATTCAAATGCGTTTTAGGCTCTAAGAAAATACAGCACACCAAAAACACCAAGCTGCCAAACCTCCCATCCAACCAGCAGCTTCGTAATTAAAAACATCTCCTTTCTTTTTCCTTGTGTAATTTTCCTGCATTGGATGGGTATAAAACACCACCTTCTCAGTTGTTTTGTTTTCTTCTGTGGCCGGTGAGACTTAGATGGCACCGATTCTCGAACCCAAAAACAAAACAATGCAAATGGAGCAGGGATGAGATGAAAAGCATGAAGGGAGGAGACAGGGATGGGTGTCCTAGAGGAAAAGGCACAAATATCAAGGGTTAATTGAAGCCCGGGGACGCTGGATGGAGTGATGAATTACTAATGGCTGTTTACACAACTCGCTGCCAGCCTGTCTAAATGAATCACAGCCTCCCTGTCAGCCAGGACCGTTTCCTGTTATCTTGTAGCATCTGAGAGGAAAAAGTCATTAGGAAGCCAAGAGGAGGACAAGACAGAGAAGAGAGGAGATAATGAACCAAAAAGGAGGAAACTGATGGGAAAAATAAGCAAGAAATTAAAACAAACTCAAGGAAATATAAAGCATTTGGTTATTTTTATTTATTCTTGTTAGTTTAGTGAAAAAAAGTGACACAAACATGTCAATTTAATTCATTTCTTGCCTCTGCAGGGTTAAAAATGTATCCCACACTGACATCTGCTGGTTAAATGTTGAACAGCAATCTTGACCAAATTTTTTAAAAATACTTCTTTTCCTCTTCAGAGACTGGAAACAATGTGATTTAACTTCTGGAGATGGAGAAGCAGTCACACACGCTGGCAGGTATGTTGTCAACATTTTAACCCATTTGCTGTCGTTTCCTTTGCTTATTGTCTGGCAAAAACATGAGAGAATCTCAAACTTGGAAGGGAGATTGAAAATATTGTTTTCCTGGCGATTGAACAAGATTACATAATATAAAAGAAAATGTTATTCCAAGGAGACCTACAGCCAAGAGTTTAAACATACTTATTTCTGACGTCTGAAATCTGCCTCCTTGTTTTATTTTCTTTATTTTACTGAATCTGCCAACAGCCCTACTAGCAGTATTCCTCTGGTTAGAACATACCGTAATTTTCGGACTATAGAGCGCACCTCAATATAAGCCACACCAACAAAAAAAAAAAGGTTTTCTACACACACGCCGCACTCAAATACAGCAGCCACAAGCAGGTCTCCGGCGCACAGCGCATGTACGGCCATAACGTAAGATAATTAGACAGAAAGACGCTACAGTGAGGGTTTTCGTTGTTGTTTTAATTCAACAAAACAAATTTTAAACACGGGTGAACGTGCCTGCAAGTTTAGAAAAGAAAACAGCACTGATAGCATTCATATTTCTGGATGGTTGTAAAATAAAAACAGAGCTGACACGTTATTACCGGTAATTTGCATGTTTAGAAGAACAGCGCGCTGACACAGCATTAATAAGCCCTGGATGATTAGAAAATAAAAACTGCACACAAAACATGCCTGTTAGTAAATAAAACACACTTGCCTACCAGAAACGTCATTCTCTCTCATCTTCCTCCTGCGCACTAAAGCCATTAAAGCCCTCTTCTTCAGTTTAGGATTAAGGTGTACAGGGGCCCATAGGCTACACTTGTTCGGGACCAAAAATGCTTGATCGAAGCAAAATATTCTTATCCTATATTCTTATCTGCAGATATTTATTTTAATTAGGGCTGTCAAACAACTAAAAATGTTAATCTAATCAATCATAGGGTATTTGTGAATTAACCATGATTTACCAATATTTTGTGGCATTTTCATCCATTTCACCCCATTAGCAGGATCCGGGTTTAAGTTAGCATCCACCATCAGCGTCACCTGGCGAGGACCTTCTGCCGGGCTTCCATCAGAATCTACTTGAAGCAGGTCTGCCTCTGCCCCCAAGTGGACAATATCAGCTTCTCTGTGACTGCTCGTTCCCTCCTTTGAGCTAGCATCATGTACCTCTGCCGCTCCAGCTAGCATAGCTCCGTTGCCTTCATCGTGAACGTCTGGCTTTTCTATAACCTGCTGTTGGGTCCAGCAGCACGTTTAAAATATCCTGACAATTTTGGGATTTTCTGCAGAAGATTTTTGTGCTTTTGTTCTTTGATTCTCTCCGTTTTCTTTCTGAGCACCGCTCTCATATTTTCTTTCTGGCATTTTTTTTTTCATTTTCCCTCGTTAAGTGCAGCAGCCTATGATACATGAATACGATGTGTCACGTGACACGTTACTTAACTCAAGACCGCCACAATGATACCCAATCAGTGTCGCTTATGATTTTGTCAGCCAATACAGTTCAAGAATATTCTTGCAAGTAAATTTTAATAAAATTATATATTTTTAGCTGGCCAGTGGGGGCCCCAGAACACACGTGGGCCCCTAGGTTTAAGCCATATCAAGCCTGTGCATTAATCCATGGCTGTCATCATCCCCGGGTGAAGCTGGCTTGAATAAGTTCTTCCCGCTGCCGTCTCCAGCGCCGAACCATGGAATCATTCATTCATGCCAAGCTTATGTGCGGCAGCACTGTTTCCCTCCTTCACTGCCAGATCGATGGCCTTTAACTTAAATGCGGCATCATATGAACTCATACATGTAGTTACCATGATGAGGGGGTGTGGATTTGAAAAAAAAATCTTCGTCGTGCCGGCTGCTTTCATGTGCTAAATTAAAATGAGCACTTTCTTCGATTTCCACTTTTGACTTCCACCTGTTTCACTTTCTGCTAAAGCGCCCCCTGCAGGTGAAGGAAAATCTTCAGTAAAGCTGCACCTCATTATAAGCCGCATGGTTCAAAGCGTGGGAAAAAAGTAGTGGCTTATAGCCCGGAAAATACGGTAACCTATTTGAATAATTTCATTTTTATGTTTTATTTTTATATTATATTGCAGGGAAGAAATATAACAAATAAACCTGTTCTTACATTCAAAGTCAGCTATTGTATATTTGTAAAACTGTGTATTTTACCCTTAAGACCTAGATTCAGTTCCACATCTGTATTCTAGTTTAATGAGTAACAATAAAAGCATTTTTCATTTTGGATTTTGTTTCCATCAAAGTTCTGCAGATTTAAGAAACAAAAATAAAAATCTAGCAGCAGTGCCTCTTTTCAAGGTCACGCAACACAGATGCTCTGTATAAGAAGGGCCAAAGCAGCCTCCACCTCCTGAGGAGGCTGAGGTCCTTCGGAGTTAGTTCCCAGCTGCTAAAATCCTTTTATCACTCTGTGGCTGGCTCTGTTATCCACTCTGATGTGGTCTGTTGGGCAGCTCTGACAGAGACAGGAAGAAACTGAACAAGCTAGTTGACAAAGCTAGCTCGGCTCTGAGCTGCCCACTGGATTCAGTTGAGGAGACGTGTAAAAGGAGGATGCTGAGGAAGATGACCTCCATCTTAAAAACCCTTCCCACCCACTGTGTGTTCCACTGTGGAGACCATGGACAGCTCCTTCAGAGGCAGACTGAGACATCCCAGATAAAAAAAAAACGCTACCATAGATATTTCATCTCCTCTGCAGTAAGAGTGTAAAACTCCTCAGTTTAAGCTGTACTGGTATTATACGGTTACACAATAACATCAATACAATATTCAATATGTGTTCAATACCAGATTTACATTGTACGTCTGTGTCTCTTGCAGAATGCTGCATAGTGCTGGAAGCCAAGTTTTTCATTTTTTATTTGTGGTTTTTAGCGGTCGAAGGTTACAATACTAATTACTGCCTATGTGTATGAATACTTGTACCTTTGTTATTATTTATTTTCAAATTATTCTCTCAGGTGTTGCTGCTGCTGTAACAAGTGAATTTCCCCACTGTGTTGGGCCAATAAAGTCTATTCTATTCTAAAATGAATGTAGTGCCACCTCGTGGTTAGTTTTTGGTATTGCACACACAAAACATAAAAAAAAACACACAAAATTTAACTTATGTCAGTCATTCATTTTAGACTGAGTGACCATCTAAAGGCTCAGGAACACTTTGCAGGTGTTTTGGATTCATTAGCTGATCAAAGGTGACACAGTCTAGAATACTGAATCTTTTCACAATATTCTAATTGTCTGACATGTTTTGTTTGGGTGTTTTTATAAGCTGTAAACCATAATCATCTCATTTATAACAAATAAAGGCTTGAAATATCTGGCTTTGCTTGTAATGAATCAATCATATTTTAGTTTCACCTTTTAATTAAATTACTGAAATAAACTTTTGCACCATATTATAATTTTTCGAGTTTCACCTGTAAATGCTGAAGTGTTTGTGGTAACCGGCAATGAGTCTCACATGTGGAGGAATGTGGTCCCACGCTCTTTTAGAGAACTTTTGTAATTCAGCAGCATTCATGGGTTTTCCAGGAAAAAAATGACATTTTAAAGGTCAAAGGTCAGACACATTCAGGATTTTCTGCTAGAAAGCAGAATTCATGGTTCCATCCATTTAAGCAAGTGGTTCAGGTCCTGAAGCAGCAAATCAACCCCAGACCATCACACTACCACCACCATGTTTTACATCTTGTTAACTTTAGGTCAGATAAAATGGGGAAAACAGCTTCCAGGAAGTTCCACAGAATATTTCCCCCAATATGAAACAGAACTTTGTGTTATTTTTAGTCAGTAGAGGTTCGGTATTTCCGTTCCGCTTCTTTCATGGCCTTTGACCTTAACCAAGTGCTTCTTACGGAGCTTTAGATGTTAGAAGTTAGGCTTCTTATGTCCCTTAATTCCTTTAAACTTGCTTTTTGAGATTGTTTAGCCTATTTCATTCTTAGCTGTATGGGTTTGGTGGTAATCAGGTGTGGCTGAAGATGAACTCAAAGTATTTATTTTTATTTCATGATTTAACAGCTCTGTGGGTGGAACATATTCTAGAAACGTTGTGCAACATGGCACCAATGCAGAAGCCTCTGAAATCTGTAAATAGCTAGTTTGCTGTAATAAAACTTAAGAGTTCCTGTTTTTACATCCTATTCTACAGTGATTAAATCATAGTCACTAATTTGATAGCGCTGAATGTTCGTGTAAAAAGTGGTGACGTTTGCGTCATGTCTGCAGGTCTTACAGCCCAGATGTGATGTCACTTCAGGATCCAGCTTCCATCTCCTGGTCCACCTGGTGGCTGGACTACTGAGCTGAAGCGTTTGGAAGTCATCGGAACGGAAAAACAAGAACAGGAGACAAAAGTGGACGCTTTCCTTCCAGGAGGCCTTTAGTTCTCTCTGAAAACTCCGTCTGTAAAATAATCTTCATACTCACCCAAAACTGTGTTTCTTCCTCACTCGTCATCATTTTAACAACGAAGGATGTTGGTGTGTATAGGTTCAGCTGGAAAAAAATAAAACAAAACACGTGCTAAAGCAGAATCCAGGACAATAACAACAGAAGGATCTCACCGTTGACGGGACGTAGACCGAACAGGCTTGAGGTGAAAAACTCTTTCCCAGAAAACTGGACCAGGTCGGATCAGTCGGACAGAACGGTGCTTTGTGGTTATGATTCAGTGTTTGGTGTGATAAAATAAAAAGGTAGTTATTAGAGCTCATTTTGTTAAAAGTAACGATGAACGTGCATCGTTTCTATTCTAGCTGTTAAGATCAACGTTGATGGGACTCATCTCTAGTTTTAAGTGTTTTCTCTCAAACGTCCACTCTTCCATTATTTCTATGTGCCATAGAGTTAAATGTGTGGAAAATACTGTAAATACCTGGAGGGATGTACGGGCAGAGGAGGCGAGTAAGCGTGAGTCGTTCTTCAGTCAAAAAATGTGGTTTTAAAAATAAATTATTCAGTTTAGAAAATAATCCTGAAACCACATAAGTTTTATTTTTAAAAAAAATTTGTTCCACGCAGAATGTTCAGACTGATGGCACTAGTGATTATCTTTATTCTTAATACCCAAATTATATATATTTTTATTTCATAATTAACCAGTGGATTTGGCAAGACCCCTTATGTCTCAAAGCAAACCGGTCATTCATTTTTTATTTTTACCTAGAAATAAACAGACATGCATATAATTTTAAATCACTATTTAAAATAAAACATTAGCATTATACAATAGTTATGTCAATATTTTTTCTCCATAGATATGTTTACTGAAATGCATGCAACTCACTGCTGCAGATTTAGATGCACTTCGTGGTTTGTTTTATTAACGTAATAACGTTGGAATAAGATATTTTTTATCTACTTCAAGTCATAAAATTGCAGTTAAAAAATATTACATTAACTGTAAGTCTGGTTTATTAAAAATGATGATAGAATGACGTTAGGAGAGCTTTTAAAAGAAAAACAGGATCTGAAAAGACATTAGGTAAAAATAAAATAAGTAAATTTCATGAAATGTTTGATTCTACGTGTTTTTTTAAAGGTTTTTCAGATGCAATCCTCGCATCGCATTTGTGATCCTCAATTTTTACTCTTAATTTATGACTTTACCTTTGTTGCTGAACCGATTTCCTTTTTATAAATAAAGTTCTGGGATCAAATCAGGGAAAATAAAACATGTAATGAGACGAAGAGTAAAAACTTATTAATACATAAGGTGTTTCAGTTGCAAAATGACTAAAAATACTTCAAATAATTACCGTAATTTCCGGACTATAGAGTGCACCTCAGTATAAGCCGCAGATATCTACTGAGATGAAAACGTAGTTTAACTGATCGGAACTGAACTGATCAGTATCAAACAAAACAGAAAAGTTATTGATTAGTTTATTCATTGTTCTCCTGCGCACTGAAACCACTGAAGTCATCATCTTCTTCAGTGTCGGAGTTGAACAGCCTCAGAAGAGCTTCGTCACATACCTTTTCTGTGGCAATGTCAGTGTCGCTCTCCGTGCTGCTGTCATCATCCCGGGGTGAAGCTGGGAAAACGAGCAGCGCCGTTTTACTGTGGAGAAAATCCTCCTGGGCGCTTTCCGTAGCGCTCCTTCAACATTCCTTCATTAGACTTTCCAGCATCCATCCTTTCTGGTTGACTAAAAACGCACCTCTTTATAAGCCGCATGGTTCAAAGCGTGGGGAAAAAGTAGCGACTTATTGTCTGGAAAATACGGTAATCTGTGATGAGATTTAAAACTTCAAACCATTTTAAAAACTTGACTCTTACTAACAATATAGTCGAGTGAAATATTAAAATTTGTGTTTTTGGCCTGACTTTTATGGGTGATTTGTACACTTTGAGCGTTGTGTAAAATTAAATTGCGTTATTACAGTCTGATCACAGCCTGGCCATTTATTCATGTGTGTTTCTGACTTCCACACCTATTAAGAGTTTTAGTGTCTCCCCCTGAAGGTGACTCCACCTCGTCGGCGAGGACAGAAGCACAAACGCTCCGAGACAAACGCCAAGAGAAATGATGTAAAACTGTCATTACAGTGATTTATTATAATGAACCATGAAAATAGCCAACCAGTGCAGTGTCTGTGAGTCTCTCTCCTCCACACAAACATACTCTCACACACACACAAATAAAAAAAAGGGGACAAAAGTTGAAGAGTCGATGAAACAAAATAATAAAATAAAAATAATGCTACAGTCACAGAAACATTCAGCTTTGCCGAGAGGAGCGTCTATATTTACAACCATATTTCAAAATGGGATGGGAGCGAATTATACAAGCATAGAAAAGAAAAGAAGCAAATATTTACAACTTGTTTCTGGTGAAAGCTGAAGTAACCACCTATACATTAAATTACACTTTCTACAAATAACCATTGATATTCAAAAATAAACCGCTAATATCCTACTAGAAGGTGAGACCACTCCACCTACCTCAGAAGGCTACAAGCCTTTGTTACACAAAAATCTCTCACAACTTTTGCTCCTTTAAACACACACATGCGCGCACACACACACTCACACACGAGCGCAGCCTCCTGCGGCGGCGAGGCACACACCCTTAATCGGATCTTTCCTGAATCTGCAGCGGTGAACAGATATCTGTTGTTAGAGGATTAAAAAAAATAATTGCGTTGTTTTTTTTCTTTCTCTATACAAAAAGCTTTCTCTTCGCTATAATGAGCCACTAGAATAAAACGTTAACTGTATACAGAGCTGACGGCGGACGAGAGGAAGAATAATGACAAAGAGGAGGAGGAGGGGAGGCTGGAATGTTCACTTATGAACAAAGTGTGGGAAATTACGACGGGGCTGGAAACAACACGACAGATCTCCGCTCCAGAAGGATTTACGATAAAAAACAGAACAAATGGAGGCCAGAAAGGGCAATGAGCACCAGGGGGGTAGTCCATCTTTAACTCCATACAGTTTCTCTTGAAGATTTTTAACTGCTGTTTTCCTTTAAAAAAAAAAAAAAAAAAAAAAGATCCTGTTCTTGTTTTTTTTTAAATTTTCTTAAACGTACCCTTTTATCCCACAGTCAGCTGTTTTTCCACTGGCCATGTGTTCAGGTACATAGAAAACATATCTACAGCTTATGGTACACGCCCCTCTCAGCCAGAGTTCTCAGGGGCGGCGGCGAGGGTGGTCAGTGCCACCCGGTGCTCAGGTACCCCGAGCTGTGGAAGGAGGTCGCAGGAGCTCCGCGGGACCCAGAGGGCATATGGGTGGCAGTGGCTGGGGCCTGGCCTTGCTGAGTCTGTTGGGGGGGGGGAGGTGGAGGGGGAGGCAGTCCGGTCTGCTGAAGGGGTGGGGGGTACGTGGATGGTGGTAATGAAGTGCTTGCTGTGGCACTGGGGTGCATCAATGGAGGCTGGAACCCCCCTAAGTTCTGATAGTGGTGGGGCTGGATTGGGGTGTTGGTGGAGGGGACTGGGGGAGGTGGAGGAGGAGGTGGGGGAGGGGTGAGTGACAAAAGGGGGTTGCTGGAGGGGGAAGGCTGCTGCTGGGATGTCTGGCCTTGTAGAGGAGGAGGTGGAGGGGGCGCAGTGGTCAGCATGAGCTGATGCTGCTGGATGGAAGGGGGCTGCAGGTTGACATGCAGCAAGGTGGGGCCGGGTATAGGGTGTGGGGGTGGAGGAGGAGGTGGGGGAGGAGCAGCTGAGGTTTGATAGTGAACGCTGTGGGGCAGAGTCTGCATCAGGGGCTGAGAACCTGCTTGGTAGGGGGGTGTGACGGCAGGTTTAAACCCAGGAAACGGTCCAGCAGGGGAGGAGTTCTGGGGAGGAAAATAGGCAGCGGACGCGGGCGGTCCCGGTGGTGGAGGGGGTGGGGGCGGTGGAGCACTCTGGGTGTTAAACTGAGGAAAAGGAGTCGTCTGAGCCTGCGACGGAGTTTGGCTCAGAGGAGGGTTTGAAAACAGCGCTCTCTGGCTGCGGTAGGGCGACCCCTGAGGCTGAGGCTTGGGAGAGTGAAGAAGAGAGGATGCTGGGTAATGGACAGGCGAGGAGGGCAGTGGAGCGGGGTGCAGCTTTGTGGGGGTCAGGGGAGCGGGCTTGGGTCCCGCGGGCTTGTTAACAGGCTGGCCGTTCGGATTCGCCGTCCAAGGCTGACCGTCTCCGTCTTCTTCCTTCGCTGGTTGACTGGAAGGCTGGACGGGAGGACCGGGAGAGCAGGGCTGTCCGGGAAAGAAGGATGCTTAAAAACCGTTACGAACTACTGACCACACACGCAAACAAATAAAGATGGACAAAAACATTCATTCTAGCTAAACGTATAAATGCGTTCATTTAAAGTAGCAACGCTTACCGTGTGGGTTGGAGTTCTTTGGAGACTCGGAGATGAACACTCCCTCGGCGCAGGTGTGTCTCCTCCTTCTGTCTCACCATCTATTACAACACCACCGGGTTACAAATACGAGCAAACGGCTGCGTTACAACCTGGGAGTCGTTATTCTCACCCGTGTCTTTGTCTTTGCTGAGCAGCAGAGCTCTGTGATAGCTGCGTTCTCTGGCCTGCTCTACAGACGTCGACGACGTCCTGAAACAAAAACAACAAGATCAATTAAAAAAATCATCTAACTTTACACCACAACGACTTAAATATAACTTTAACACCTACCACTGTCCATCTCCTCCTTCTTTCTCTCTGACTGCCTCCGTCTCCTCACTCGTCTGAGGCTCCTTCACTGTGGTAATGTTACTGGGAGCAGTGGGAGCTGTGGGAGCAGGGGGCTCGTGGGCGGGCTCCAGAGCCACAGAGAAGGCTTCTACGGTCAAAGGCGGCACAGTGGAAACGGGGGAGCTGCACTCGGTTTTGGAACCGCTGCGACGAGCTTCCCGCTGGCGCTTTCGGTATTCCAGCAGGGAAACCTGGGGAGGTGGGAGGTTTTTGTTGAAATTCAAATTTGCACAACGTATTCTGATCTTACTGAAGTGGAGTAAAGTTAAATTTCAAAAATAAACTAGAAAGAAGCTGAAAAGGCACCTTTTTCTTCTGTGGCGGGTTCTGTGCGGACCCTCCCTCACCAGCACCTTCCACGTTGAGCGAGCGCGGGAAGCCGAGTGAGCCCGGGTCATCAGAGCAGGAATAAAACAGCTGACCTTGGGGTTCGCTAAACGGGGGCTGAGTGCCAGCCAGGGATCCTGCTCCTGCTGTAGGTCCAGCTGAAGGTTCGGATCTGAACGGAGCCGCCAGAGGCTCCAGGGTGTGAGACGGGGTAAGGTCCCTTAGGTTTGAGTTGACTGGAGAGAAGTTCAGGCCAGCTGGTCCAGTCGGGCCTCTATCTGGGCTTTTGATCCACCCAGGATAAGAAGAAGCACATGTCTCTGCAGATAAACAGGTCTCGCTCGTGCCCTCTGAGACACTACCGTCTGTCCTATCCTCTCCGCTGTCCACCTCCTCGGTGGCTGGAAGCTGGGGACTCTGTGAAACGGACACTTTGATGTCTGTTTGTTGTCCATCTGAACTGGGAGCTCTGACGCAGGGAGAGGAAACCAATGAAGGAGGACGATCGGCCTAGGAGAGGAGAAGAGAAGCAGACGAGCTGGCTGAAACACACACTTGGTATTTTATAAGCAACAATAAGAGCTAAGACTAACATTCCTATTTAAAATCTTGGATTAAGAACGGAGCGTAAAGATGGTGAAAATGCTTTAAAGGTCTCATTCACTCGTTTTTCAAGACATTTGCTGTGGTCTCTGTTATAAATGAATGCCTCGTGGGTTGTTCGCCTGTGAAACAAGTATGACACGGTTTCCCAGTGAACTTGCTCTTTAACCCTCTGGGGTCCAGGGTGTAATTTGCCGTTTTTGACTAATTTAGAGTTTTCCTTTGTATTTCCAAAATAAAAACCATAACCACTGCTTTATGTTATATCAATCTTTTCAGCACAACCTGGACTTTATGAATTTATACTTATTTTTTATATTTGGACATAAAGGGGTTGCATATTAGACCTTAAATCACTCAAAAACATAAAATCTGAATTGGAAAAAAGTTGTTTATTTTACTGTGAAAACAACAAACATTTATGACAAATGTTTTTTATAATTTAGAATGGTAATCTAGACTGTACATTTATAAAAAATATGAATAAATATAGCAAATAACTAATTAAAAAAAAATACTAGCCCTCTGGGGTCCAGGGTGTAAATCACTGTTTTTGACTCATTTTGGTTTTTCTTTTGTATTTTCTAATAAAAACAATAAATATTGCCTTATGGGGTATCATTTTTTTCAGGACAACCTAGACTATCTGAATTTATACTTATTTTATTAATTTGGCAATTATGTACATGCATTTTGGAGTGGGGAGTGGCTCTGTCTCACGATCGAGATCTGACAGCTGAGCGGCGCCGCCCACTCCTCTTGTTGGATCTCCGAGGAGCTGCATTTCTGCCTTCATCCTCTACCTCATCATGACCCAACTCTTCTATGAGGAAGGATGGATCTGCCTCATCGTCATCAACATCCTCGCTATTTGCCTCAGACTCCGGCTGCGAGTCTCCGTCCACTTCCTCTGCTTCCACTTCAAAAAACAGCCGTACTATCTGAACCGCCTGGTGGACATTTATCCTTCTCATCATCCTTCATTAAAGCCTAATAAAAGCCTACTAAACTGCAGAGACAACATATCTGTCCGTATCGCTCCAAAGTATGAAGTTTACCATCAATATCTGTTTAATTATTTGTTGCTACTCCGTTCGTGCCACTCCTTTCCCCGCAAAGCTCCTTTTTGCGCACATCTCGTTACTCGTGCGGCCTTCCTCTCTCTCTCAGCTACATAATGATACTTTTTATCAACTGAATATGTGAGAGTTCCACCAACAGCAAAAGGATCTCATGTTTTGTGGGTTTTTTTTATGTTCACAAGCACGTTCCCTCTCACGGATGACTAAACTGCTGTTTTGACAAGTTACCAGATTGTCTAAAAATAGGTCGTTTTTTAGTTTAGTATAACTCCGCTTTTACGTTGCCTGTTAACAAAATTTAAAAACTGAGGTGTAGTTTATAATCTCCTTTTTAAAGCTGAACTGAAACCGAAACTCAGGGAGGTGGAGTCTTGCTGCTACAGCGTCCCAAATCAGACCTGTTCAAAAGACGCGGATACGCGTCCATGGACCCCAGAGGGGTTAATAAAAACTAAAATTGAAGAAAAAACAAGTTCAACAACACGGTCTGGTAACAAATCAACGTTACGGAGACACGCCTACCTCCTGCACACATGGTTTCCTGGAGACTTCGGGCGAGATTTCCTCTGAAGATTCATTCTGTGCAACAACATAAAATAATTCAAGTCTTTTTCTCATAAAAACAAAACAAACACACACACACCATATAGAACCACCATACCTCCTGAGGAGCATTAAGTGTGTGTGTTGGGGTAATAACAATGGGCTCCATACATGGCTCCTCTGTTCGGGAACGGGGTGGGGTGGTGAGTAGGATGGGCGTGTCGGGCTGATCTGTCCGGGTGGGCGTGGCACACGGGGAACCGTAAGGCGTTGAGCTCTCAGATACGCAGGCATCCAAGGGACTCAGTCGCCGCTTTTTCAAAGGAGTAGGTAGCTCTGAAAAAAAAAGTGCTTCAGTTTCAAAACTTTTTAAAAGTTATATAAAAATCTTGAAAAATTGAATAACGTCACATTTAACTAATGCTTTTTAAACTTCTTTTGACTCCTCACAGACACCTACCTGGTGTTGAACAGGAACCATTGAAGAGTACAGGGCTGTCAGAGTCACCGTTAATGGAGGGGCTGAGAGGCCCATCACCAGTCAGGAAAATACTCGGCCGTCTGGCCGGGCTGGTGGACCCCTCCTCTTCTAACGCCTGCTTCAACCATCGCTGCAAAAACAACAAAAAAGGGAACAGGAATTCAACAACTTCACACGAGCAGCATCTGCTCTAAAATACAAACCATCTAGCCTTATTTCATCATCAACAGGGGACTAGAAAGGTTTATGACGCATACCTTTTTACAGGAGCCCGTAGTCTGTGGCATTTCTGGCAGCTCTCGCGACCGCCGTCTCCCAGTAGGTACTCCGGGAGTGGTGGGGCTGCGGTTTGCCAGGAATGGAGACGAGAAGCGGACATAGTGTTTGGGCGTGCTGTAGACTTGCGGAGAGCAGGTCATGCCCGGTAAGGCGTTTAGCTGTGTGGCAAGCACTTCGGGGTCACTGCTTATTCTCAGCGGCCTCTCTGGGACTGGTTCGGGTGTCCGCACGGCACTACGATCCTGCTGTTTCTCCCCCACCCACTCGGTCACAAAGTGCTGCCAGACAGAGTTTAAAGCCGTTCAGAAGGTTGTTGTTTGTAGAGAAGCTTGCTTAGCGATCAGATTAAACAAGCCCGTACCTTTTTAGTTTTGAAGCTCTTGCTCCCTGAGCGGTTTCGTTCAGGTGCAGGCGAGCTGCTGTGAGGAGGGCTGCTGTCCGGGACCTGTGAGACGATGGCCTCTGGCTCAGGCGCGGAGGGCACCTCTCCTTCAGGGGCTTCGCTGGTCAGAGGCTCCACGCTTTCGGCTGGAGAGTTGGGGGCGAGGTCGGAGCAGGTGCTGATGGTGCGAGCTCTCCGACGCTGCTGGCCAATGTGAGTCCGGCTCCTGGAGAAACTCTTCCTGTTCCGCGAGGGCTTCACCTTGGCTGGCTTTAGTCCCGGCTCCTCCTTTATTTCAATGGGCGGCTATAGAAGACAAGCGTGTATTTTAGGGACACTGCAGGTCTAAAACAGGAGATGTGTGTGTGACGTTAAAGTAGAAGCACACACCTGCATAACAGCTGGACAGTCTGCCATCTCTGGTGTTACAGGAGGCTCCTCCTTAATGTCACCACGCACACCAACTTCTGTTTTAGTCCCGATTCTCTCCAAGGCCTGCTCCCTGCGCTTCTCCCTTTTCTCCATTCGGGCAAAGGCTTGGAGAATGGCCTCCATCTTCCTCTCCTCTCGCGTCTGCATAGAGTCAGACGTGGGGTTGGGGGGAGGGGTGAAGAAGAGGTCACAGTCATTAGTCACCGAAAAAGGCCGAGAAGATGCGGAGGGCTACACGGCTAGAGCTCAGAGTGCAAACGGGACTGCAGACAGGCGGGAAAACTCTTTGAGAGCTTTCTCTCCCCTTCCAAATCTAATTTCCTGCTTTTTACTTAGAATTTTATTTTCTATGATGCAAAAATGTTGGTTCTGAAAATCAAGTGCAAAAAAAAAACCGCAACGTGCAAACTCAGGACACATCAGAAGAACTATTGGATTTAGAAGCATATTAATCCCTGCAGAAGCCCCTCAAACCTCAGCTTATACAAAACATTTAGTCGCCATGTTGTGCCTTGTTCCTCCCAGAGTGCTTTACGTGCATCAATCTGAAATTCACACCATCAGACTCCTGAAGGAAGTTTGTTTATTACCAGTAAAACATTAAGAAAGAACAACCAAACCACAAATCAAACAAACTAAATCAAACTAAATGACAGGAAGTTCTAACAGAAAAACTTTTAGACCAAAAGGAAATCTGGCAAAGAGCTCAAGCAGCAAAGACGAGCTAAAGAGCCGACCGACAACGGGGTCACCTGTTCTGCACCTGGATTTACAACCTCCACACGAATTCCTACGCCACTAACCGTCGGTGAGCGAACGCACGCCTCTCTGCTCCAGAACCGGGTTCATCCTCAGAAACAGGCTCCAAGTCAGCATCCCCCCCCCCAAAAAAAATCATCTCTGTAGCTTGTTAGCAGAAATGTATGTTGCCCAAAGATGAGTCAGCAATTTACACCGTGGACACACCGTGTGAAATGAAGCTGACTGCAGAGTAATTTCCTCTGTGTGTGTGTGCGTGTGTGTGTGTGTGTGTGTGCGTGTTCACATCTCTCAGCGACACAAGACCATTTGGCAGAGGAGAGTGACTGACACCACCATCAGCCGTTTCCAACTCACGGCCACAGCGACGGTTAGCAGATACAGGAACTGTGATGCATCGTGGGAGACGGTTTGAACCGGGGTTCCTCTCCAGCTGATGGGAGGAGTGTGTTTTTCACTAGCTTGTTATACTTCAGGTACGTTTCTTCTACTATGAAACAAGAAACGACGAAAACAAAAGCTGCAAATAAGCACAAAGCATCAGAGCGGTGAGAGGAGAGGGAGGTCGGAGCTGAGGAGCCACTGGCAGTGGCGGGAGTCCTAGCAGGGTTTAAACCATGAAGAGGAGGTGGTGGGAGAGAAGAAGTAGAAGGCTGCACCTGTCCAAGCCCTTAGCCGACAAACGGTTAAGTCCTAACCAGGAGCAACAGGGGATAGTTGTATTTTTACTTTTTCTGCCGGGTGGCTGCATAGCAAAAGAAAAGCTTTAGCCCCTGACTTGGCACTTACCATCTTCCTCCTCCTCTCTGCAATCTGTTCCTCTGATTCCATCTCTACTTCATTGCTAACGGAGGTTTTGTCTTCCAGATCCTCAAATAACTCAGGATCCTGTAAGAGGAGGGAGAGCCAAGTGTGGCACTTTTATTCAGTCTGACTACAGACCAGAGCGGGACAGGGAAGAGGGTGTGTGTGTGTGTGTGTGTGTGTGTGTGTGGGGGGGGGGGGGGGGGTGCTAGAGGGAGTTACGATGATCCTCAGAGGTCATTCTGAACACAACACACCTGCTCAGAAATCTAACAATCCTCTTCCCCACAGCTCGGTGGAAACACGACACCGAACCCGTGAAGAGCAACTTTCAATCAAGTCAACCCAGACTAGCTCTTTAGAAAATGACTTCTACTTTGAAATATTTGGCTGCAGCACAGAAAGTTGAAAGAATGAGAGATGAGGCTTTCGTTCCAGTTGGCCCGTCAGAGTGAAGTGCCCTGGGGATTACACGCTATCACACGTGCTGCCAGAAGTCACACTGGTCTGTCTTCTGTGATGGAATACGGACTCTGAAGCCAAAATTTGTAGCTGAGAGGGACAAACTTAAAGGGAGGGTGGGAATAACGAGGAACCGAACAGGGTTTATATTAGAGTAACAATGGAAAACACACCCAAAGACCACGAAGGTGACCGTTTTAACCAAAAAAAAAAAAAAAAAAAAGGAACAAGTGATATATAATGGATAGTGGCTTGACTTTGTGCTACCTTATCAGAAACATACCTGGTTGTTGGAGATGGAGAGGCGGAGTGGAGAGAGTTTCCGCTGTTTGCCATCACCGATGCTTTTGCCCTTCCCCTCTCCATCTAAAACCATGTTCTGGTTCTGGGCCTGGTCCTCCCGGACAGACTCCTTGCGGCTCCCTCTGCGTCGACCTCCAGAACTCAAGTTCTCAGTTGGCTCCTGGTTGTGCTTCAGCACCGGGCATTCTGGGTTCCCTTTCACGCAGGCGCAGTCTACCTTGTATTTACTAGAAACACAAAAGAGGAGAAGCCGGGTGGAGGATGAGTAGAGAAGTGAAACCATCTCGTCTTGCGTCTGTGGTTCAGATTTCATTTCCCAAAGTCTTCTACTCCTAACTCACCAGCTGCCGTAGTCGAAATCAAAACCGATGGTGATCTCTGTGCCTTTGGCGATGGGCCTCAGTGAATAGATGTATAGATGAAGCATGCCATCCTCGATGACGTGTCGTACCTAAAGACAGTTAAACAAGAGGTCACGTCATAACAACAAACCACTGTAGCGTGTGACAAAACCGATTCATGCTGCATGTGTACGTACTTCGGAGTTGGGGGTGCAGGAGCGGCGGATGAAACGGGCTTCGTTGCCAAAGCTGCGTGCGTCGACACACATCTCCACTCCATCAAAGTTGGAGTAAAATAACACAAACGGGTATGGCCTGGAATAATGAAGAAAGGACGTCATTATGCACTTCAGAAACAATCGATGTGAACCTTTACAATGTGTGTGATGGAAATAGGGTTGTCACGGTAACCGTGTAGCGGTAAACACTGGTAAAAAAGTTGACAATAATAATAACCGTCTTGTTTTAAAAAATACTATTGCTGTGGTGACCCTTACCAGCCACCGTATCATCTGCTGAAGTTGCCGGCGGCACATGCGCACTTTGTTGTTTACAACCAAAACTTTCTTGAAGCTAAAGCTGGACAAAGGAGGAGACGGCAGCACTCAGGACATTTATTATCCCTCAAAGAAGACAAAGTGGGAAGTACGGGCATTTTTTGGATGTTTGAAGAATGCCGAGGGACAGCTGATAGAAGACGGCTATCCTGCTTGCAGCACGTGCAGAAAAAGTGTCGGTGAAAGGCAGCAACGCTTCAAATCTCATGACACATCTGCAAGTCCATCGCCCACAACTCTACAGTCAACGCAAGGCAAGCTAACGTTAGCGTTTTAGCTAAAATGCGTGATCCGAGGATTTGGGTTGAGGGAGAATAAAACGAGTCGCTATATAAAGCAGCCGCAGCGCCGCTATCTGCATATAAACCGTGTCACGGACACCCCCATGTTGAAATGACGCTATGCATTACGGGGCTCCCAGGGGCAGATAAGAGTTGGTCTCTCTCCGAGAATAATTATAAATTTAATAATGATTACTGCCTAATGACATTTTCCCACATCTGCAAATCTCACTGGAAGGACACAAACCGAGGACAATATTTTCCTGATATAGGGATTATTACTCAAGTAAGAGTAAAAAAGTATCTGATTAGAAGGCTACTTGAGTACTGAGTATCATCTGATCTAATATTTTTAAAATGATGACATCAAACAGACATAAAGTAAGAAGTTATGAGCAAATATTGGTATTTTAAAGACTAAAGGGAACAAATGTAAACAAATAAACAACATAATTACAAAATAACACATTTTAGGCAAAATTTAGACACAAACTAAGGACAATTTTTCCTGATATACAGGACTTATTTAGTTGTCTGAAAATGTAACATGGTTAAAAAAAAAATATGGCGATAATACCTAAAGCCGTGATTATTTTGGTCACAATAACCGTGAGGTTCAATTTTCACACCGTGACAACCCTAGATGGAAAAAAAGAAGGGACGTAGTACAAGACAAAACGTTGATGAGCTCGCTGACCTCCTGAAGAAGTATCCATTGGCCTCAAACTGCTGTCGAAGCATGAACTTCCCCCTGTACTCAATGATGAGGGAGTCCGGGGCCAGGTCCCGCACTGCCTTGAGGATTTTCTTGTTCTTTTGAACTTGACTCTGGACAAGAGAAACAACCTGACATCAGCAAAAAAAACATCGACAGGCAATGATAAAATTACCACAAACCCCACAAGGGAAACCAGTGCTGCTGTACGGCAGCAACATAAAAGAGTGGGAGAGGTCCTTGGGGGTGTTTAGTAATTATGAGTCCTGTATAGATGAGATTGTGTACGGGTTTATACCTCCACCGGGGGTTTAAAAGAGGCTGGGTGCGTGTTATATGCCAGACTCTTGCCGTCGCCTTGCTCTTTAACACGCAACAGGACCTGAACGTCTTCGCTGTACTGATTACTGCTGGCCTCCTCGTATCGCTCCATCCACGTCTTGATTTTATTCTCCCACAGAGATGGGTGCTCTGTTGGCTCCTGCTCTGGAGCTGCACCCTGGGAAAAATAAACATAAGACTTATTTATTTAAAAAGCAGGTTTGAAGACAAGATGCTGGAAGTGAACACACAGTGAGCTGCCGTGTTGCTTCTGCCGCTTTACCTTTACTCTGGAGGACTTCCTGGATCCCTCTCTGAATGCCTGCAAAGAAAGAAAATAAAACTTAGCATAATAATAATAATAATGATGATGATGATAAAAATGTTTTAGGACTGAATGACTCCAAACTCACCTTCTTAGCTCGAGCAGAAGATGCTGGTGGCTCCTTTTCACCGCTCTTTTTACGCTTCTTATCCGTCTGCTTATTGCCAAGGCGCCCGGTTGTTAGGGTGATGGTGGTAGGCGTGTGCTGGAAGGTGGAGTAGAGCTCTAGAGGAACCTCGTCTCCACTTTCTGTAGCACTGGTGTCCCCGTCTGAACAAGCAAGCGAGTTAGGAGATGGAGTTGGAGAAAGAAAGCCACATCCTGAGCTATAAACGACTGCAGCAGCTGCTGCTGCGGGCTAACCCGACACCAGCCACGTTACAATAATTGAAGATGAAGCATGATGGAGAACAAAAATCATTAAACTGTTGTTTGATGCTTGTCCAGCAGGTGTCACTATAGTCTGTGTTAAATCAGAAGCCACTAACACGCCACCCAGCCGTTTACTGCAGCAAGGAAACCAGAGAAAGCAGAACTGAGACTCGTCAAAACTTTCTAACGCCTCATAATTCACGTGGAGAAATATGGCCGTCTGTTATCATTTGGATGTTTTTATGAATCAGGATCAAAGGAAACGTTCTGCTGCTTTCTTGCTTACCAGATAAGCACTCTCTTTTCCTGGTCTGAAGCAGGATGGCCCTCTCTCTATCCAGATGACGGGGTTGGCACCGTTCACACAGGTAGGTCTCAGGAATGTTCTGCCTGTCGATCCCCATGCAGTCTATGTGCTGCCAGGCACTAGAAAAATAAATGTAATAAGTGTTTACACCACTTTTTATAATCGTTAACAATAAAATCAGCCCATAAGGAGTCTGAGAATCATCCCAAAGCCAGAATAAGCCATCATATCAGCCTGTGATCACTTGAGTGAGTTTACCTGCACTTGTCACAACAGATCATGTAGCCGTCATCGTGGGTGAAGCCACAGATGCAGCGAGTGACGTCAGCCCCGTAGCTGCCATCCTCCGACGTGCTGAGTGTCGTGCCCCTGGATGCTTCATCCTGTCCCCCTGAAACAAACAGTCCCCCCTCTCCTTGTCGGATCAACATAGAGGGTGGGGGGGAGGCCGGCGGTGTAGGCGGGGGCCGCGCCCCATAATTATGGTCCTGATGAAGAGACAGCGGACGTACGGGTCATGAAGGCGTGTAAATGTTACACAACTGGGTTCATTTATAAAAACAGGCCAAGCTGCTGGAGATTGTGAAATGTGCAGATTCTTACACCAGTAGGAAATTAAACACAGAGTTCATGTAAACATGTGATGATCTGATTTGTTTGTTGTTGACATAATAAACAGGATTACGTCTCAGACATAAAACTACAGATAAAGCTAATTATTACACACAAACATAAAGAAAAAACTGAACAACTTCCTGTGGCGCACCGAGATACGAGTTCATGATGACGATTAGAAGATTCATCATCGAGACGCAAAAACCCCGCACGTTTCACACACTGGCTGTTCTCTCATCATGCAGCTAATATAAATCGGCGAGAAAGCTGAAATGATGACCTGGCATCAGAATCCACTTATGGGAGAAGAACAGAAAAAGCTGGACATGGACTGCTCCTATTCCAGGGCGCAAGTGAGTAAAAAGCGGACCAATTTAAAGCGGAGCGTGTGTACTCACAGCGTAAGGCAGGCCAATGTAACTGTGGGAATGGTGAGAGCTGCTGCTGTAAATCTGGTGCGGGTAGCTGGACTTCTCCACCACCACGGGGCTGGCCTCCACCGATTCTGGTCTGTTGAGCAGCAGCAAAAACCAAAGAAAAAGAAACGACTGTTAACTGAAAAACACTGATAACAAGGTTATCGCACGGCGCTGCGGCTTTGCTCCTTTTAAACATTTACAAGATGATATGCATGCTCGGCAAGGGAGTGCTTAATGACACCGACGCTGGCAGGAAATGAACGGGTGTTATGAATGGATGGTACGGGACAGATTGTTGCCGTTTCTGATCATGAACGTGGCAAATTCAACTCAGGAATCAAAACAGTTGATGTTTTCATTCCTTCAGCTCCACAGATACTCATCAGAAACATTTACAGCCGCTCACTTGTGCAGAGACAACAAACGTGCTTTCACCGCCCTCTTTCGTGTTAAACCAGTAGATCCACTTTCCCCAGGATCCCAGTGCAGCTGGGAGAACCAGCCCAGCATACCCTTATTATGGTGAATCTATTTTTCAGTTGCTGAAGGGGTGGTTCTAAGGGAAGAGGGAAGTGGAACTGGCAAAAAAGGCAAGAGGGCTGGCAGACACGAAGGAGGGGAACAGAAACATGAGGTCCGACGCTCACTGTGAGCCGTCCACATGTTCAGTCAGGTCGAATCACACTTGATCCCTCTCTTCATGGAGAAAAGGTGCCGTGGTTTGGATGAAATAAGAACCAATCGTGGAGTATGTGTGGCAGCCGATTCTAATATCTTCTATGTTCCATCTTGGGATTTTTAAAAGAACTCCAAGAGTAGGTTTCCTTTTACCATACTAAGAAAAAAAATCCTCCTTTTATTCATTTCAAACATTATTAGTCTCTGAAATCACTGTGCGTGCAATCATTGTGAGTAGAACTTCATAAATTAAAATTTAAACTCACATTTTGAAAAACAAGAGCTTCAGGGAAGTTTTTCAACAAGAGGAAACATTAAACATCCCGTTTTTAAAAAGAATACATCATCTGAGCACGTGTCCCCTTTTTTCCTGCTGCTCCCACCTCTACTCCCTCTCAAGTACAAGGTAATTTAGTGCTACAATACCTGTGTAAGCTCTTCTCAGCCCTATCGCACGTCCTGCACACCGAAAAGCACTGTGCAACACTTCCTGTGTGTATTACCGCTCAACTCCTCACTGTCAAGAGTGAAAACGTAACTGCAGGCATGTGGTCCGGAGGCGGTGCCACACAGAGGGGCGTGTCCGTACAACAGCTCAACCGCCACAAAGGTAAGGTAAAGTAGGTGCACAAAGTTTGATCTAAAGAGGGACGAACTCAAAAACAGGCCTAGCTTTGAATGATGCTCACAAATGGAAAAGTTCAACCAGAAAGTAAAGTTAACAGTTTGAAAGTCACAGGTTTTCAGATCCAGCATGTTTTTTAAATCACTAGAAGAGAAAAAAGCCAGGCAGAGAATAAGAGCCACAAAAGAATGCAAGCAAACTTGCTTGTTGAATGAAGGAGGAAACAGATTTGTTTTTGATTATGTAAACATGCAGGTGAAGGGAATCTCTCTGTAAAGGACTAGAGTGGTTAAGTTACATCAGCGTGAATCTAACATCTTTCAAAGCTGATTTTAAATGTTCCACGCTGAACATTTTCAATCCTCAGGTCTCACAAAGGGACAGATGGGAACGTAAACAACTGTTGAGAAAGGCTAAAAAGACAGAAAAGGACAAGGACTAAGACATCGGCAGCAAAAGAGAGAAAGAGCAGACTCCTGAAGAGCTCCCACTTGCTGCTATGGCAACACGATGGACTCTGATGGCGAGTGTGTAAACGCCAGACTCAGTCAGTTTGAACACACACCGCATCAGCCCACAGCTGCTCACACTGCCGCAGACTTCAAGGAGACAGGGAAAGAACGTGATGCTGCTTCTCTGGTGAGTAGCCAGCCTCTGCTCCAGACTCAGCTGGCACTCTCTAAATTGTAAACGAATCAGTGTGTGTGTGTGTGTGTGTGTGCGTGTGCACGTGCGTCCAGCTAGGCTCTGTCATTCTGGTCTGGAAGGAGCCTGCACAGCAGCTGGTGGAAGCCCCGATCCAAGCCCGTTATCTGCTTCTGAATACATTTTCTGTGGCCAATCGGACTCGGGGAGCAGAGACAGACAAAGAGTGAGTGAGGGAGTGTTGAGGAGAGGGGCTGTAATCTACGGGTGGGGGGGGGGGGGGGGGGGGGACTGTTTAAGACCCCGTATCTGTGTGAGGACCACCTGTCACTCAGGGCACCGACTATGGCAACAAGCCATGAGCAGTGCAAAGGGGAGGGAGGGGAGCAAGACTGATATCATAGCAACTCAAGCTGTCAAAGCAACAGCTCCGGTGAAGGCAGCGGGGAGGGCTTCCCCCCCTTAAAGAGACAGGAGCCCCTCCAGAAGTAGATGACGTGCTTTATTCTTTAGTCATACACGAACATCTTGCTTAATTTATTTAACCAGTAAAAAATAAATAATAAATAAATATCGCAGAAATGCCCTTGACAAGACTGCAGGAAAGCAAGAGGAGGGGCAACAGGAAGCTTGTTGCCATGGCTCCAAGCATCACTTCTGCTTCACTGAGTGAATGCGGTGTACACATGTGCAAACATCAAGCTGCCGCTTTAGAAACCAAGCTCGAAAATCATGTTTTTGGTGCACTGGTGAAAATCACGTCAGCTTTAAACAACAGATCATACGCAGCCACATTTACGGGCAGTTTTGAGCAAGTCCATTAAGCTCATCGCTCAGCGGGGTGTCTGCAGGATGGGAAATAGTTGAGTGGAAGCCCAATCAATGAGCAGACTGAACAGTCCATTAGTCCAGCAGAGCCAGAGCATATTAGAGAGGACATGTTGAGACACAAGAGGAGAAAAGAGAACAGGGGAACAATACGCTACGTTAATAGTGTCAACCACATGTGAGTGGCCCCAAACAGGGGTGAGATATATGAGACTTATATTGCAATTTCCCAACTGAGGGACTAATAAAGGTATTCTTATATGAGAACACAATAGGGCCAGAGAGAGAGAGAGAGAAAGGAAAAAGCGTGAAACTGGGAATTAAAATTTGATGGCAGTACTGATGAATGAATCAGAGGAGATGAGGGGCACAGAAATGTTTTGTGTTACTCACTCTGAGCCTGCAGCCATGTCCAGGTAAGAGGTGTCTACTGTGTCCACCCCTACTGGGAAGACTATGCTCATGACGTTCTCTGCTGATCAGTTCTTGTCCTACTGAGTCCAGAGAAAGGTCCAAAGCACTGAGGCATGCCAGCCACAGCAGTCATTGCAGACATCTAAGTGCATCCACAAGGCCTAAAAATTCAGGAAGAAATAAAGAAAACCAGTTAATGTTACGCGACAGCACAATTTTCAGCACAAATACATTTAATTCATAACATGAACAACACAGAAAGTCAGGCTGCAGTGCTTCAAATCGCTCATCGTTGTGAAAACGGGGTATTTCCAGCACATGTAAATGGATGATTCATAACCTGATTAAGATATTTGCCAGGACTTTACCCACGATACTGTAACCAGGTTGAGGTTATTGACTGGTGAATAGCAGGAAGATGAGAGTCTGAGGTGAAGTCCTGAGCTGCTGCTGTGAACTGCACTAAAGAGGCCTCTGCACCGTATCTGCCAGGAATGCATAAAGCTGCACTGTAAAAAAACTCCCACAAAGGGGAGCAAGAGAACACAGCAACTAGGCCCTGTGGACAGGAGGAGGAAAATGGAACACAGAGGCCATTTTTCCCCCCCTAATCAACTGAAGGGGACTGCTCTGAGCACTCACATCTACATGTAATTCACCAGCTGCTCCGTATTTAAACGTCCACACATCATATTTATAGGAACGGTTTTGTATCGTCTCCAGAATCCAACACGATGAAAGCTGCGGTGAAATCAAGTCATGAATAGTTGATTACTTTTGCAGGAGGATGTAGTACCAACAGTGTCCTGACTAGTAGCTTGTCTAAGGTTAATAAATGATGAGGAAGGAGTAGTTTAGGTGATTAAATGAAGTCATGCTTTTGAGCCCAGACAGGAGCATACGTGCGAGTGTTGCTGCTCCTGATACAAACAGCTCCGTTGATAAGCAGGATTAGTGGGAGGGACAGATGCTGAGACAAAATAGGCTGGAGGTCACACCTCCGCCGGCTCATATCAACTTTGACCAAACAAAAGCTCGAATCACAGCTCGTGATCTATGGAGATTACGGAAGGGTTACAAAAAACTAACAGACTACACAGCCGTGTAGGGGAACGCAATATACGAGGAAGAATGTGAACTCTCACATAAACATGACTCTGCACGTCCACGGAGGTCTGCGAAGACAGAATTCCTCCTGAACAATCCACACATCCATGGACGAGGAAAACACACAAAGGAAGACCTTTTAAAACGAGTCATTTCAAGTCCCGGTTCAGATGAGTCCCGCACACGTGGTGGCTTTCAGCTGACTACAACACTTCACTTTTACAACAGCAGGGACGTTTGCCAATAAGTGAAATGAAATAATCCTCTTTGTGCTATAAATAATGAGCCTTTGTGGAAACCTGACACTCCAAGACTGCTACTGTTTTAAATCTGAATTTGGAAAATGTAAGGAGAAGCTGAACTTATTTGCGCTCACGTGCACAAACGTTTACATACTTGCTCGAGGTGTTTGGAGCCATGTCTGAAGACCACTCTGTGTGCATTAGGGGGACAAAAACAACATCTGAATTGGCATAACGTGATTTAGCATCTGCTTCTTGTCTGGGCCGGCGCACACTCAACTGGCATGACCCACCGGCACCTTTCATATTGAATGCACTGGACTGGAGGAAACTTAGTGACTTTTTTTCACCTCACCATTAAATGTTCACTCATAAATGTTTGTACAGCAAACTCACGTTCACACCTTTCTTTATACAAGCATGCCTATTCATCTGCTCTTTCAAACACATCTCCATGTTAGACTCTAGGTGTGTGAACATGCAACAACAGCCAGGCATTGACCAAAGTCATACAACAAAGAAGAAAGTACAGAAGAGCTACATTCTTGGCTAAATCTGAGCTGTGCTGCGACTGCCTGGGCCTGCTCCTCCTACTTCCTCTAGGAGAGCAGCCCATCACCATGGAGAAACGCAGCCAAAAGGGGAAAAAAGGAACCCCCCCCCCCTCCTTCCTGTTCCCAGTCACCCCGCCCAGTCAGATTTTTCTCCCTTCTCTGTGCACTTCCTAAATAAACCTGAGACAGTAATGCAGAACTGAAGGGAAGGGGAGTGTCGCAGACACAGCTCCTAATTACAAGCGAGCCAAAAGAGACCTTTTAAAGCCACCTCTGGTTAAATCCACTGCTGCTGTAAAATCATGTGAGACAAGCAAGAGGCATGTATAATACAGATCACACACACACACACACACACACACACACACACACACACACACACACACACACACACACACACACACACACACACACACACACACACACACACACACACAAAACACACAGTAATTACATCAGATTAACAAATAAAAATAAACCATAGAGACAACTGCCCGGTTAGATTTTCTCGACGTTTCATTTCTGTAAAGCTCCTCTCTTGTAGTTGATCACTACAAATTGTCGTTGAACAACAGGGAGCTTGGCAAATGACCAAAACCCCACTATTGGAGAGGGCATGGGGAGGGGGAGGTGCACACAGGGACTGTCTGACAGTGATGCTCCACAGTAGAGACCTGGGTGGGCTCTGGGTGGCAGAGTGGAGCGCATAGCATAACCCAGTCTCACATTTTTCCCTCCTCCTCCTCTCCCTCACCAAGAGGACACAGTCCCATTATTGTGTGTGGAATCGCTCTCCGTTTAAGACGGAGCTTCTGCAAGATTATGAAGCGAAAACCCAACGTTGACAATGAAGTAAACAGCCTCAGTATTTCAGAATATTATTTTTAACCATAAATAACAGTTTTCATTCTTGCTTCCACAGCCACGTCTGGGCAGATTACGTCTGTAGATAAGTGGGAGGGGCAAAACAAAACTAGGGATTCTAACTGAATCCCATGGCAACCCCTGTCAAGCTAATGCGACTTCACACTACCTTCATAGATGGCTGCAATGACTCAGCTTAGAAACGATTAAAATGCTCGCACAAATACATTCATGAACACGGGAGGCTTGACCCAGATAGAACCCGGACTCTGCCCTCTTTTTCTCACCGCCGTGTGCCCAACGTGGCACACATTCTATCTGCCTTGCCCTTCATCAACCAGTGTGCCCACAGCAGCCAGTGAAGGTGAAGTCATACATCGATGCAGCAGGGGATACGGATGTGAGCATCCACACAAGCAGCTGCTCGGGCACCAACAGGAAGGATCTGCTGCATGTGGAAAACAACAGACACTAAAACAAAAACAAGCTAAAGATAACGTTAAAGGGGGAGCAGTACATCGAGTTGAGAGTAAAATAAAAACGGTAACACTAGTTTGCTCGTTTCCAGCAGTTGCTAATCTTCTTTTTAGTGACTGGAATTGAGCTTTTGGAAGTTAAAATGTGTAATAATTACACAAGACAGCATTAAAACTAAACAATGTTCTCTGTGCACAGACAGTGCACACAAACAGTGGTGGAATTAAACAAACAACAAAGCAGGCACGCTCCAATGTCATTGCTAGAGTCACAACCAAGCAATGCATCGTCATGGGCGATATCCTTCAAACGTGACATCTAGATGGACATATGTCGCATCCGATGTTTTCATCTTTATGGGTGCAAATGCTTGTGAGGTCCGATGTAACTTGTTGGGTACTGAGGAATCTACTGTGATTAGAGACTGATAAACGGGCACATGTGGAGCTGTACCTACAGGTGCTGGCCAGTAAATTAGAATATCATCAAAAGGTTGAAAATATTTCAGTAATTCCATTCAAAACGTGAAACTTGTACATTATATTCATGCAATGCACACAGACCAATGTATTTCCAATGTTCATTACATTTAAATTTGATATTCATAAGTGACAACTAATGAAAACTCCAAATTTGGTATCTCAAAAAATTAGAATATTCTGAAAAGGCTGAATATAGAAGACACCTGCTGCCACTCTAATCAGCTGATTTACTCAAAACACCTGCAAAGGCCTTTAAAAGGTCCCTCAGTCTTGTTTTGAAGGCACCACAATCATGGGGAAGACTTCTGACTTAACAGCTGTCCAAAAGACAATCATTGACACCTTGCACAAGGATGGCAAGACACAAAAGGTGATTGCTAAAGAAGCTGGCTGTTCGCAGAGCTCTGTGTCCAAGCACATTAACAGACAGGCGAAGGGACGGAAAAAATGTGGTAGAAAAAAGTGTACAAGCTCTAGGGATAACCGCACCCTGCAGAGAATTGTGACGACAAACCCATTCAAAAATGTGGGGGAGATCCACAAAGAGTGGACTGCAGCTGGAGTCAGCGCTTCAAGAACCACCACGAGGAGACTCATGAAAGACATGGGATTCAGGTGTCGCATTCCGTGTGTCAAGCCACTCTTGAACAAGAAACAGCGCAAGAAGCGTCTCGCCTGGGCCAAGGACAAAAAGGACTGGACTGATGCTGAGTGGTCCAAAGTTATGTTTTCTGATGAAAGCAAGTTCTGCATTTCCTTTGGAAATCAAGGACCCAGAGTCTGGAGGAAGAGCGGAGAAGCACAGAATCCACGTTGCATGAGGTCCAGTGTAAAGTTTCCACCGTCAGTGATGGTGTGGGGTGCCATGTCATCTGCCGGTGTTGGCCCACTCTGTTTCCTGAGGTCCAGGGTCAATGCAGCCGTCTACCAGGAAGTTTTAGAGCACTTCATGCTTCCTGCTGCTGACCAACTTTATGGGGATGCAGACTTCACCTTTCAACAGGACTTGGCACCTGCACACAGTGCCAAAACCACCAGCACCTGGTTCAAGGACCATGGTATCCCTGTCCTTGATTGGCCAGCAAACTCGCCTGACCTTAACCCCATAGAAAATCTATGGGGTATTGTGAAGCGGAGGATGCAATACGCTAGACCCAACAATGCAGAGGAGCTGAAGACGACTATCAGAGCAACCTGGGCTCTCATAACACCTGAGCAGTGCCACAGACTGATCGAGTCCATGCCACGCCGCATTACTGCAGTTATTGAGGCAAAAGGAGCCCCGACTAAGTATTGAGTGCTATACATGCACATTCTTTTCATGTTCATTCTTTTCAGTTGGCCAACATTAGAGAAACAAACATTTTTCATTGGCCTTTAGAATATTCTAATTTTCTGAGATACCAGATTTGATGTTTTCATTGGTTGTCACCTA